CGAGTCAATATTGACGTGTAAATGATAGTGGTCATAGAATGATTATCCCTCCACGATGCTAATTAGTAAAAGATGCACCAATTCTCTCCTGCGATGTTTCCAGGAGCAACTCATGAGATGAAAAGGGAATAGAAAATCGCATGCAGGATACTGGAAATAAAGCATTTGCTTATTTCTAGTCAGCGACAATTGCTAGTGGCGTATTAATCAGAAAAAAGGAAAAAAAAGAAAGAGACTTGCTAATGGTGTCGCATCGATCAATTACAGCCACATAAATGCGTCATGACAGGAAATGGTACATTATATATTATATTGTATTGTATGTAAGACTAAAATAGCTCATTGTTTTAACTCACAATGAAACTCCTTTTTTGTTCCTGGGTGGCAATTTTTTTTTTAATTTAAAATTTGGTTCTTGAATTATTTGTTTCACAATTAAACCCTTTTAATCAGGTTTTAAACTTGCCTATAAGAGATGTTTTTGGGGAAAAGACAAAAAACAAATAAGTAGAAGCGTAACTGTAATTATGTTTTTCATTTTCATGATTTTTTTGTCCCAGTATTTTGAATATTGAGAATTTGGAAAATTGGGCAATATTCCAACTTTCTATGGATACTGATTTGTCAAAACGGAGTCACAGGCAAAGGCTCTTTGGTCAAAAACATGAACGCAAGCTAGCGTGTATCCATGTTTGGTGGCTTTAGTGGCTCAAAGATGACTAGGTTTTTGATCGAGTTAAGGCATCTGTACAAGGAAAAAATTAAAATATTGATGAAGTTTTGAGAATTTATATGCAGGTTTTAATGTTTTAGAAAAAAACAAATTGAGAAAAGTTAAAAATACTTATGGATATTTGTTTTCTTGATGTAATTAAAACTAAATGGAAAAAAAATATTATGATCAAATATGAATAGAAAAAAGGAGTCACGAAAATAAAACAATATTGTGTTTTTTTATGTCAACAATAATAAATTATTTTAATTTCTTGAGTTAACAGTCAAACAAAAATTAAAGGTATAAAGTAATGGGTACAATAAAAAAATATTAGTAAATACAATCGATTAAATGATACTATAAGAAAGACTATTAAAAATATTACATTCCACACCATGGCCATATAAAAAATAAAAATAAAAACCACATACAAAAAAAATAATTAAAAGGGAAGGGTTATATCTAACCAAATTGAAGGAGACAAACATCAAACACAGCAATCCACGAGAGTTTCTGACAACCAGGAAACTAAAATAGAATATTTACTGCCGATTTGAATAATTTCATCAAAATAAAAATTAAGGTAAAAACCAAATAAAAGACCAATTGTGCAAGCACGGGCTTACAGTAAAACAATAGCCATTCACAAGCACGGGCTTATGTAAAATCAAAGAAAGTAGAGGGAAGTCATGCTGTTATTATTCTGAATTGGTTAAGAGATGAGAGTTTTAGTTGTTTATATAATATAAAAGTTTTATTTTTTAAAAGATATTTTTTTAATAATAAAACTTACCATGTGGCTAGCTAAACACACATTAATTGAAACAATTATTCTTAGATTGCTTATCATGTATGAATATGAATATATATAATTATTGATATTATATATAAGAATACCAGCCATGTAACGCCACCCTAATCCTTTATTTAAGTGACTATGATAATGCATCATAATCTCACATCGGCTAAAATATAATAATCTTAGTTGTTTATATAGTATTAATTTTTTTTTTGTTTTTCAAAAATATTTTTTTAATAATAAAACTCATCACGACTAAATCCATTTTAGTTAGAATATATATCTAGAAAAACATACTATGTACAAATGTATATGTTAAATAATACTCTAAGAGGTGGGAAAAACATTGTAATTTTCCCATGCCTTTCACTTATCAATATATTATATTATTATTATATTATATTATATTACAGAACTATTTTTTTCTTTTTATTTTTTATGTTTTTTTAATGAATTGTTTTTGTTTTATTTATCTTGTTAATGTTAATTTTTTTTATTTAGTTATCAGATTTTCATGATGCGGATCTTGGGTTTGATGGGTTAACCTGATTTGACGAGTTAACCTGAATTTTTTAATTTAATTTAGTTTGTTGATGTAAAATTTTTTTCTATTTAATTATTAAACTTTCATGATATGTATCCTAGAATTGATGAGTTAATTTCGTTTGATGGGTTAACCCAGTTAATTCTGGGTAAACCTATTAATTTTTTTTTTCTATTTAGTTATTAAATTTTTATAACGTAAATCTCAGGTTTTGTGAGTTAACCCAATTAATTTAATTTTTTTTCTTCATTAATGTTTTTTCCTGTTGTTTTTTTTTTTAATTTATTTATTTAATTATCACACTTTTATGATATGACTATAACCTTATAGCCAGACCCACATTTAATATTTTTGGGTTCAGTATTGTAGTCAAGTTCGCTTAAACTTTGATCATGCAAGTTTAATGTTATTATTAATATTATAAATATTACTCTTAAATTAGATGTTGCAGTCAAATCCAAGACTCTGGGGTATAGCTTTGTAAAAAAACTTAATACTTTTAAATCTTGATTTTTTATATATTTTTTACGCAAAAAAATAACTCGTGGCATCGCGCGGGTTATGTAACTAGTACATTATTAGAAGGTGTCTTGTGGTTAAGTGCCTATTTAAATGTGTAATTGTAGTTGTTTTTTAAATAATTTTTATACCAAAATATATTAAAATAATATTTATTTTATTTTTTAAAAAATATTTTTAAAATTAATGCATCAAAACAATTTAAAATATATAAAAAAATTAATATTTTACAAAAAAAATTAAATTTTTTAAAAACGTTCTCTAAGTTACATAACATTATATTATTTTACAAGATTAGGTGGAATAGTTTTTCTATTTATCCATGTATAGAGAGTGGTCGACCCGTTCAAATACGAAAATTTTCCAGGTTTTCCACTTGGAGTTTATTTCTTCAACAAATATTGTGGCGGCACCAAACCTTTTATTGAGGTAGTAAAATATGAAAAATTATCCTGTCGTTTAGGATACACTCTGTATCCTACGAAAAGTACATCTTGATGGTGAAATAAAGAGGGTACATTTTGTTCACGTACAATTATAGCGACGCCCCCCTCCTTTCCCAGGGCCAAAAATATTTGCCAACGACATTGATGATGTAATACTAAACAAATTCTAAATATATTATTATTATTATTGAATAAAGAAAATGATAGAATTGCAACTTGACATTTGAAAGAATTCTTGTTAACATCAATCGATTATCTCTCAGATAATAATTGATCTTTTCAATGATACAAACAACAAATAAAATTCTTTAAAATCTTTAATTTGAATTATTCGCCAAGGAACTTGTTACACTTCACAAGTAGACAAAGACATGGATCCAAATATTAAATCAAGACTTATAGATGCAATTAAAGGAAAACTAGATCAAGACTTAAGATCAAGAGTTGAAAACTAGAAAAACCTCAGGGGAAAAAAATAATAATCCCTGCCAACGGTAGCTAAGATTAGCTAGGATTGGAAGGTGTGATGGCTAAAGTATTTTTAAAACAATCACTGCATACAATAATAGCAAATGAATAAATAATTAAAGTTGGATGCATAGTCAACTTGGATGGTGGGGTGGGGTGGGGTGACATTTGAAATGCCCTTGGCTGGTAGCCTGATGCAAGGAATGGTCTATTGCTGACCATAATTGCTCTTTTTTTTTACTTAATAATAAGATTTTGGCCTTGAAAACATATTATAATCTGTCTTTAATACAACAATGACGATAAATAAATAAATAAAAAATCGAATTAGTTCCGAAATTCGGAAGGGAAGCTAGGGTTGCCAATGCTGTAGGGGGAGTGCATGACCGTTTATATTAATAACATCACGAGGGGCCACGTATTAAATGTTTTTGAAAACCGACCAAAGCATAGTTAATAGAATACAAACAAGACATGGCTTATTGATTTCTCCAACACAACTAATTATTCTCATAATACATTTTGGACATAGCAGAGCTTAGGATAGGAATCAAGTAATCACCACCTCCAAGTGGCTGGCTAAAATCAACTCGTTTATTTCATGATTTGAACTGTGCTGAGGACGTAAACAGTGGGTATAATCAACTCGTTTATTACTATATTATCTATGATTGCGGTTCAACGCTAGTTTTGATTTTAATTTTTTTTTCCTGAGGTTTTAATTGATTATTTTGATGTTTTAAGTGATAAAAATTTAAAAAATAATTTTTATCAGAATTGTAAGCAATCCCTACATGTTATAGCTGGATTAATCATCTAATAAATTGTAATGTGCATCTCTTTCTTGACTATGATTGATACCTCTATTTCCCCCCCTTCATTATCGATTTAATAGACGAAAAATATTTTATTTTAGTTTGTTGTCAGATGGGCGGTCTCATAAGATTTGGATTAGATAATCAGGTTAATTGCCTTCCAGCCGTGAATCCTCCAAGATCTGAAGCTGAGATTCTAAAACTTTATTAATATTAGTCTGATATTTGTCCTTTAAGCAAACCCACAGAGGGAACTGGACAAGCACATACCATTAGCAACTAGCCCGCCTTGGCATAGGACGTACATTTCCAACTAAATTGCTCTTATTTTGGGAAGGATTATATAGATTCTCATGTTTTGCCTTTTCATAGCTGAATCGTAAGCGGAGAGGAGGATTCATTAACATGAAGCATAGTTATAAGATTACGCTTAGCTCCAAGTATGGATTAACTTGATGATTCGTCAATTTAAACTAGACAAGTGAATAACTTAGATTCTTTTTTTTTTTAATAATATTATTTTAGAGTTTTTTTTATTTTTTTTTAGAAAAACCTGACCCGAATTGTTATCCTGAATTTAAGCTGGGTTGAATCTTATATATACGATTCGATGAAATATAATGATTTCCTGCCGGGGTTTATATTTCACACATCAAAATAAAAACAAAAGTAGGCCCATGACAAGACAGCAATATTAGACAGCTTAATTAAACAGAAACTCACGTAACAGAAGTAAATCCTACATAGATAGCCTGGATATACTTTTCCAGTCCTCTGCTTATCCTGTACAGTAAGTAGTACATGATTAAACATAGGATAAGACACAACTTACACAGCCTTAAAGGCTTAAACCCACAGCTCACCTTACCACACACACACCTGACAAGCTCTAATTATCGAAATAACAACACAATTCTACAGACTTAATTTAATACTGATTCAAAATAATCATCCTCGATGGGCTAAGAAGGTGATAAGATCCATAATTCTTGGCAAAGCGACATCCGCGATGAATCTTGTTATCAATACCAGTGTCCTCCATAGCCATCAACACTTTGTAGAAGATATCAACGTTGCAGGGTAGTGTTAGAGGGCCTTCAGGGTTGTAACCATACTCAGACTCTGCTTCTTCAAGCAGAATCTTGAATAGTGGGTGGTTTGCATACTCTGTCTTGATCACAAACCTTTGTTTCTGGGGTCCAACGTAGACTGAGAAGCAACCTTCAGGAGCTACACGTGATTTCCTGGAATGCTTTTGATCATGGTCGTCTTCTAGTGAAACTTTAATATGCGGGCATGATTTGCTCTCTGGTGTCAAAGAACGTTCCAGTCTTGACGTTCTCTTGCTTCCCCTGCCAAACGATATGCATCTCTCCCATGTCTTGATGATCAGATTACCTTTGAACTTTCCTTTCCCCTTCCTCACATCCATTCAAAAATATATGTTTATGATGACACGAAATACACTAAATTTGTACAGCAAGAACTAATTAAATATAGCTAAAGAAAAGTGTTGATATATATTGTTGGACTTAGCAACACATACCACCTCCTCAATCCTTGTAATTGAAAACAAGGTAAAAGAATTGGTGATACGGGTATGGAGTTTCTACTTAATTGAGAACAAAATGAGAGAGAATGCTTTGATCATATGTTAATCAGATGTATAGTGGATTCAGGTTAACCTCTATCATAAACCAAATAAACCATGACCTTCATCCTTGGCATCATTGAGTTACTCATATCTACTGAACAAAGAGAAGTTGTGGTCGTGCAAATTAAAGGAAAACAAACAGCAAGAAATTGTTTTGACAACAAAGTGAAACAGAAAGATGATTCAAGATAAAATACTAGACATAACTGGAGTATATCTCAAGAATTGGGGAAGGGATGAAGAGGGTGATGGAAGAGGGCAAATCAACGAACCAGAACAGAGAGAGTCTCACAAGATGTTCTCTCACTTGCGTCTTCAAGGGGTCAATCTCGGCATGGAACGATTATAACTAGCTCTGTCCTAGTTCATATATAAAGCCCACAAATGGACATAAAATATTTTTGAAGATGCCCTCTTGTCAACGCAAGAAAGGTCTATTTCTGTTACCTCTCTATCTTTGGTCATTTATGGGTTTCTCTTTCCTTTGTTTTCTTTGTGAGAGATTTGGCTTTCGGGATCCCTAAAATGACAAGAAGTGGCTAGTTTCTGTGAATTGAGAAATTTACAGACAAGCGGACAACCAGGTTTTACTTTTTGTTATCATGGCTGTAAAATATTATTTTTATAGATTTCTTCTTAGATCACCTGCTGGCACTGTTTTTGGATCGACGTTGCTAGTGGTATATATGATATATGATATATGATATATATAATTTTTGTTTTAATTTTTTCAACGAGGAATTAATATCTAGCGTATAATTTTTGTTTTAATTTTTTCAACGAGGAATTAATCCCTAGCTAGCTAAACACTGCTGACAACTTCGTGGACCCAGTATTGGTGAAGTGATAAAAACCTGCATTCATGTACATTTCAATATATATGTATTGTTCGAAATTGCATATTAAAAAATAATAAATAACTCATTAATTCCCACAGGATCATTTTATATCAAAATAGCTAACAAGTTTATTTCTAAGAAATTCATCAAATCAAGAGTTTTTTTTTTTTTAATCTTTGGAGGGAGACGGGCGGCCATCACCCAAAGATGGAGTGCGGAATTTTGGTTTGAAATCACCAAATCAAAGAAATTTTTTTACAAAAACTAAAATTTAAAATTCTTTATCTTTAAAATTAAAAATCTAATTTATGGAAGAAGAGGTGCAAGAAAAAAAAAAGGATTCTTGCCCCTGCCCCTGCTCCTGCCGCCACCAGTCCCCTAACTCCGCCTCTACTGAAAAGTCAAACCTCTGTCTCCCTAAAATACAAACCTCAATCGTATAATAATAATTTGAGTTTTGCTTGCACGTGGCTTAGGAGGAGATAAGGAAGCAGGGAAAAAGAATTTCCATTTCATAATCTGACCAGAACAGTTCATGGTATAATAGGCCGCCATAACTGCTCAGAAAAACATGGGCCAGCAACAAAATCATAGACGCTTCATTTTTCCCCTCGAACAGTTATATTATTTGAGTACATTAAAAATAGCATGCATGTTTTTTTTTTTTAAAAAAAACAATTATGCATGTAATTGTAAATTTATTTCAAAAACAGACTATCCTTGTACTTGTAAGTACCTTAAAAACGTAAAGAGACACGTATTTGCGTTGTCTTTGATAAGGAACTCAATTTGATCCATCAATTAAACCATATATACATATATAATTCTTCCCAGATTTTATTACAGCAGCTCTGATAATTCAAAAGAAATTCAATGCAGCGACACGAGAAACTCATTGAGAAAAGTGTCCGATAGCTTAATAAGCTTTTTTATTCAAGGATGCATAATTTATGAGGTGAGTTAGATAAAGATTGGCATCGTAAACCTGATCGATGAAGAATATATAGCTCATCGAGCTAAGTTAAACTATATATATAAACAAGATGAGTATAAATATCAGTATTATCTTTTTAATTTTGTGTTTTTTTTTATCGTTATATATACTTATTCATCAGCTAAAAAGATGTACAAACCCTTACAGAATAGTATCCAAGACTAGGGTTGGTGATAAGAAATATGTTGCAAGCCACTTTTCTGATTTCTAAATGGAGGATGGCACAAGCTCAAGATTTTATCAAGATTATTGGGAGACCTTAATTAAAAATGGAAGATAATCTTATTCTTTGTGAGATTTTTGACAAGCTATTAGCCTATCACATACTTGAAAGGTGTTTCAAAAGACTGTAAGCCATAAATAAAAAGAAACGTTCTTGGAGACACTCATTACTCACAATATTTGAGTGGAGAAAGAGTCTAGAGGACAAGATCTAATCATGAAACAATACAGCTATGGACAATAAATCTATTTTTTGAAAATAAAAACTTAGCTAAAAAAGACAATAGCCTAAAAATACCATTTGGAAGCACAGGAAGAAAAATTGGTAGACGCCCATAATATAACAATGAAAATAGGAGAATCAAGTATAAAATAACCATGATTTTAATGGATATTTTATTTGTGACAAGAGTGGATATATTGCTGGAGTTTTTAATTTTGTTTTTGTGAACCTAAATTAAGCTTAGGCCAACATAACAAATAGACAATTTGTGATGATGATAACAAATTGAAAAAATTACTCTTAGTATTTTATAATTTGGTTAAAACTACCTAATTTATTAAGTTTTAGAAAATTATACTTTGCATCATTATTTAACATAAAATTTTAAATTAAACAAAACAGTCAAATTATCATTATATATAATATATCACAAAGTCAAACAAAAAAACAAAATTCTCTCTCTTCCAAACATAATTTCTCTCTCTTCAAGTCCCCAAATTAAATCTCAAGAATAAATCTAATTTTTTGAATCATTTTTTTTATTCTCTATCCCTTAATTTATTTTTTTAATTAAATTTTGTTTGTCGATTGATTTTTTAATATTGAATTAATTAATAATTTAGTATAGTAATTTTTTTATTTATTTTCTATAAAGTTATAAAAATTTTATAATCTAAATAACAAATTTAAAATATCAACTCAAGTTGATTCGAGTCGATCTAGTAAATTATTATTTTAATATTATTAAAAAAATATTATTTTAAATTTTTTAATCTGAGTTTTTTTTATATTTATCAGGTGTATTAAATTACATTACATTAATTTTTATATATTTTAATTTGTTTGGTTAAAGTAACGTATTAACAACACCACGATGATACTTTTTTTTTTTAAATCTCTAACAGACAATAATCTAGTTTCCTCTGTAAAAATTTATTATGCTAGCACGAATGGAGGTCTAACGGGTCTTGGCCATATAAAGAGGAGTAGCAGCCTTTGTTTTAGAATCTCATTTCACCCAAAAGTTTGAACCAAGGGTGATACCTCAAGCTTTAATTGACAGGGCAGTTTTATGCATCACAGTTTTCTAACAAGTGTTCACTATAAAACGACATATCCCGGAGTTACCTCAAAGGAAACGGGTGCTATGAAGGAATATTCCGTCACCACCATAAATGGGCCAGCAAGGGCGAAGAACAAAACATATAAATAAATAAAGAGAAAAAACCAACTCAAAACTTACATTTTCATTATTATCTTGAAAATGATAAGGCATATCTCCTGTATTTTTTAGTTTAAAAATATAAAAAATTACTTTAAAACCTTCTCATGATATATTTATTTTATATCTTGTTTTTTAATTAAATATATTTTTACTTTCACTATATTTATATTTTTTTTTATATTGATATGGTAACCAAATGCTAGCTAAAACTTAAAATAAATATCAATTTCCTAGGAAGAAAAGTCTCTCATAATTCAACTCTATTCCCATATTCACCAGAAGTTCTCTACAAGAATTTGTTTCTGTATACATGTTCACTTAAAACCTTCCGGTCTTTTGAGAGCTAAGAACACCATGAGGTTCCCTCGGCAATCGGCGTATTAGGGTGTTTTTTTTTTTTTTTTTTTTTTTTTTTTTTTTTTTTTGTGAAGATCGGGGCACAAATGAGTTACTCAGCACACCTATATGCAAGCTTTTATTTCCTACGCTTTGATATTTCAACTACGTATGCGACCACTCACCCCTTCTGCAATCATCATTTTAGTTTACTTTAAGGAATGAAATTTAATGCAAATCACAAAGATGACATCAGGTAATTATATTCAATTAGTACATTGAACGTTTCAAAATAAGTGTTTGTTCTTAAAAAAAAATTATAAAGGTCGTGCAATATCATACTTGGTAGCTCTGACCAAAAATTTTATACTGATACTATCAATATTTATTTTAATTTGAATAATAATAAGTTTTGTTTGTTTTTGCGTGTAGAATTATAATTAGATATCTTTTTAAATTTATTTAATTTAAATATTTTTTAGTTTTTTTAATGATTTTAATATACTGATATAGATAAAAATAATAATTTTAATATATTTTTAAATAAAAAATATTTTTAAAAAACATGCTACAAAATAATTCCAAACACATATAGTGGATAAGCACTTCTCCTCTAAGCACAATAATTTCAAAATTTTAGTGGTCAATTCATTAATTGCGGATTATGTATGCAATGACGGACGGTCCATGATTGAAAGAAAAATGGCCATCAGACGTCATCTGGGCGGTGGAGTTTGGGTAGTCTCTAGCTAGTTGAATATAGACTACTAGTATTCTATTTTTATTTTTTGTCTGTACGTAAGGCTATTTTTAAAAGCCTTTTTTTTATATAGCTATTAAAACAAAGACCTTAAAAAGAGTTTTAAGGGTTTAAATTATTCAGTCAAAATTTTTTTCTTCTTATTTATGTTTTTTTTATTTGACATATCTATATTTTTTTTTATCAACAGCATGGTTTTTTTAATAGAAATTTAAAGCAATTAAAATAAAAATTTATAAGTATTCAAATAACTTAAATTTAAGAGAAGAAATATGTATTTATTTAGACGAAACTCCCTTTTTGTTATTCATTTTTTTTTACAGAAATGTTTTTTTTATTGGAAGCTAGGTTTTTTAAATAGGAATTTATCATGCTCTTCAACCAAAAAAACTAATGTCCCCAATATTACCATGTGATTGTATGAAATAAATAAATAATTCAAGTTCCTTATATAATTATTCATAAAATAATTATTTATTTTACCAAAATAATTTCTAATCTTAATATTTCATAATCATTTTTTTAACTTTTATTTTTTTAAAATATATTATTAAATAAAAGAACAAAATGTGAAAAATCATTCGAAAAGGATACACATAGGTCTATCCTTCAAGATCCATGCATGCTTGGCCCAAAACAAGCCCAAGTGTGGGAGAATTGAAAGGCTGCTTGATTTTGTTGATAAGTATACACGGTGTGTTATTTCAATAGTTTTTTGATCGTTGAAAAAATAGGTTTTACGTTTCTGAATATTTTAAAATTATTTTTCCACTTGTTTCCATTTAAAAACATTCTAAAAATATAATAACAACCTTAATAACCCCAAACCCCAAATCCAACACCTAAACACCCTCTAATTGCTCTAGAAAATAAAAATTAAACCAAATAAAAAATATTTTAGGCTCTCAGTCTACTTTTACATCATAGTAAAAGGATAAAATCACCTAAATTAAACTCCTTTCTCTAAAACAAATTTATTTCACATCAAAATTAATCTCTAGTGACGGGTTAGAATGTGACGGACCAAAATTTCTCTCTTTTCTATTTTTTTTCAATGATTTCTCTCCCTTCACAGACACAAGGATTGAAATATGATGACAATAAAGTACAGGGGCTAAAACATAAAACCATAAGATTACAGGGTCTAAATATATAAAAATAAAAAACTTCAAGGAGAAATGCATTGGACCTCTGCAACACTGTCCACGATAACTTTGAGTGTAGGAAAAATAATAACATGTATGTTAAAAGACATAGATAAATTATTTTATTTTATAATATGATATGTTTTTATGGAGTGCAATTTGGCAATGGCCAGGTCCCCAGAGTAAAGCTTTCTCATGGCTCATGAACAATGATGAGCCTTTAACTAATGATCAAAGAAGCAGAAGAAAGCTGTCAATGGAGGCCAATTGTACTTTGTGTTTGTCTGAGTTCGAGTCAACCATTCACGTGCTCCGAGATAAATTCTTATGGAAAAAGAATTCTGGGATAAATTCTTCAATGTAGAATCCTAGGAATGGTTTGAGAAAAATTTAAATGGAAAACCTTGTTCTTGTGATGCTTGCTGGTTTTTATGGAGATGGTGCACTGATAAGGTGTTTGATCCCCGCGCAGTTCCATATTAATCAGAATCATATGGTTCGTCTTATCTGCAACTACAACGCAGAAATCAAAATCAGCATGGAAGGGGGACTTCAATTCCCTTTTTTGTAGAAGTGTTTCCGAGGCTTATGAGGAGATTCAGTGGGGAGATTCGTAACTGGGTTTGCTGCTGGAATTGGTATCTGTAATGCTCTTAAGGTTGAGCTTTGGGCTGTCAGGTATGGTTTGGACCTGACTGGGAGTGTGGGGGCAAGATTTCTAAACTAAGGGTAATAGTCAAGCGCTTCAGCTTATTCTATTCAAGGATCAAGTGGATCTGGGGCCGAATCTGTGCTCGGCCCTTGGGCTCTTTTGCCAAAAAAAAAGGGTGTTGAAGTACCCATTACCGTTGCAGAATTCCCACGCTGCCTTCTCAGAGTTACTGTTCCTGGTAATCCAACACAGTCAAATTTAGCACCAATCTGAATCCCTAGTAATCCAACGCAGCAACCGTGCAGATTTACTGTTCCTGCAAATAATCTGTTGTCAGTTCTGATAGCCAGGAATAGGAAAAAGAAAAGACAGGAACTGGCCATGTAAAAAAAAGGTGATGTGTAGCTGGATATCCAAAACGATGGATTGAGGTGTAAAGCGAACACCCTACCCTGCGAAAAAAGATTTAAGTCGAAATGGATTCCAAAGTTGAGTAACAAAAAGAGAATGGCATTTGGGTTGAAGGTGATGATAAGCAACCCAACAAATCTTTTATTTGGTTGATCGCAGAATCATCTCTGGTGTTTCCTTTGAACTGGACATCATAAACGTGTGAAATAAAGTTTCACGCAAAATAAGTTTTGTTGTTATTCATTTGTTTACTATAGAGAAAGAAGAAGAAAACAAAGAACATGTCATATTTTAAATTGGCTTTAATCACAGCAAATGGCATCGCATCCAAAACAATCCTATCAACTAGTAAAAGAGAATCTTATCGTCTAATTATGGCCATTACCGAACCAGTTACCTCTGCAGGGGAAGACAACGAGAATCTCTCCATCCTGGACTGATCCTGGCGAATCCTGCTCCTGATTGTGATTGTCTTCAGTAAGAACATTGGCCGGAGCAGCAACATCAGCTCTTGCTGAGCCGAAAAGAAACAAAATTTCTGCTTGCAGTGGAACATCAAATAAATGACTGATGTGGTCCTGTGGATGACTTGGAGATATCCCATTAATACATGCTACTGCGTTTTAAAAAGACAAGAAAAGAGACAGTGGAAGGTTTCTATATAAAAAAAGATTTGTTTTGTTAAATGGTATTTTTGAGGGAAATTACTCTGCACATCAGAACGTATTTCCTTGTTTTTAATTAGTTTTTAGCAATTAAATTCTATTTGTAATTCAAATCAGTTAAATTATCTGCGGAGCGGCAGAATCCCAACACAAAACAAAACAAAAGTATATTGTATAACTTTCGACTCATATTGAAAGCTATTAAGTTAAAAGAAACAGTCGTTAATCACACGGGATTAGACTAAAACCCAGGAAACACAAATCTGTAACAGTTAACAAAAACCCAGATCCCCGGCCATTCAAGAAAAAGTGAAAATTAAAAGAAACTATTCAGAAAAAAATAGAAAGACAAAAACAAAAGCAAGGCTAGAAATAATCTGATGGGCTTTTCAATCTTTGGATCCAAAACCCTTTCCTGTAATGGAGTAATGAAAACTTGTTTCAAGAGAAAATGAGAATTTTAATGTGGTAACAAACAAAGAAATATCATTGTTTTTTGTGTATATATAAACACGACGACACAATCCAAATTCAAGACGTATAAAACAAGTCAGAGTCAAAGTTTATTGTTATCCTGCAAAAGAAAAGAAATAATATTGAATATAATGAATAAGAGCTGAGAGGTTAAAGGCAGGGGTTTTGAACCGTCTTGTTGGTTCATCTGGATTTTTTATCATGTTGTAAATTGACTTTGATTTTTAGACGGGTGAGGTTAGATTAATTTTTATTTTATTTTTTTAAGCTTATATTAGTTTAAGTTTCAGGTCATTTTGGTTTCATCCAATGCCTATCAAGTATATAATAAGATAAATTATTTAATTTAATTTAAAATACACCGATCACTTTTTGTTTAATCCAGTCCAATTCATTTAATATTATCTTATTATATTAATTATTGTTATTGTTATTATTTTCATTTTAAAACTAGTTAACTAAAATTTATAATAACATAGATTCATATTTATTAAAAAAAAAAAACTACTAGATATTACCATGATGGACTCTTCGACTAATGAATGATAATGTCAAAATAATAAAATGTTTAATTTAAAAGGAAAGGAAAGGGTATGCTTGGCGGTTATTTTGTCCTTTCAGCCTCAGGCATCAACCGTTTCTTTACCGAAAGGGTGAGAAACGGAGAGTCGCGCCACTCTTGCGTCTCACAACTCACAAACAGAAGTTTCTCTCCCTCCCGAACTCGCTCTCCTGCAATTCCTCTCGGATTCGTCTTGACAAAACCCTAAAAACCAACAAAAAGTACTCTCATAGTCATATAATTTCGTTTCAGGAATCAAGCAAGAAATTCTTGAACTTTGTTTGACCAAACAGTGCTGCTCCTCCATCAAGACAAGACTGCATTAACAACCCCAATATTGTTACATCAAGTTATTTGAGTTTTCTAGTGGTGGGAGTACTTCAAGCCTTCATTCTGATAGTCTTGACAATATGGACGTCGACAATTCCTTTCTTGAACAACAAGTTAGGAGTACCGCTGCTAAACGTAGCAGTGACTCCTTGAATGATTGTGACGATAATGGTCATAACTTTTTGAAGAAGAAACCGAAACAAGAGAGAGATTTAGGTTTCGCTGTGCCTGATCGCGGGTGTCTTGCTCCTGTTCCTCTTAGAACGGCACCCCCACCATTAACATACAATGATCATCAAGAAGGGCATGTCGGTGCTGGTAACAACAACAATAACAAGGATAATCAAGTGGCTGCTGTTCCGGTTGTACGTGGTTGTAAGCAGTTTTGGAAAGCAGGGGATTATGAGGGAGGCAGCGTTGCTGAATCATCTGCTGATCATTCTGGTGGTTCTATATTCCATGCTACTCTAATTAATTTGTCGCTTAGTTTTGCTTGTTTTGTTTGCAATATTTGTGAGCATGTCATTCTAGTTGTGTTAATGTTTGTAATAGCTACTTAATTCCTGTTTACAAGAACAGTGGGCATGCAATGCCCTTTTTAGTTTGTTTTTTGAGTTCTTTCATGATTCTTCGGCGTTGGAAAGTCACTTTCTTTACGTCCATTTTATAGAGGCCACAGGATTAAGAAATATGCATTTTGTACTGCTATATTTTCTAATCAATATATTGACATCCGTATAGTTGGCATGGATCATGTCAGGGTGCACCCCAAGTTCTTGCATTCAAACGCAACCAGCCATAAATGGGCACTGGGAGGTAATTAGTGGTCGTTGAATTGTACTAATATCTATGTGTATATATGTTTGCTTAACTCGAATAGGTGAGTTTTATTCATCTGGGTTCTTATTTGCAGCTTTTGCTGAACTCCTAGACAATGCTGTAGATGAGGTATTTGTTGCTCTAGCATAGTTTCAACGAAAATTTTCTTTTCGTTTCTTTTTCTTGACTGCTGACGATTTTGTTTAGGTTGGTCATGGAGCTTCTTGTGTAAGCATAGATGTTCTGAATAACAGCAAAGATTTCTCTAAGATGTTGCTAGTTGAAGGTATGTATCTCTATAATTGTTCTGTGTTGATATCTCGCAGTTCTGTATTTCACGGGCTCGGTGCATAACAAGTGGTAATGAATTCGGATGCAAACCCCCCTACGAATTTCAGAAATAAAAGAGTTATTCTCAACTACTCAAGACCCTTCAAGTGAAAAAGAAAAAAATTGAAGTTCAATTGAGTATTTTGTACAGATTCCAGAGCACACAAGAAAGGGCTTCTCGTTGTGCGATGAATTAATGAGGGAATATTACACATGCCTATTTATTGTGTGACTGGTTTCCAATCTTTGCTTATGTTGATTACAGATAACGGTGGTGGGATGACTCCTGACAGGATGCGGGCATGCATGTCTCTTGGATACTCTGCCAAAAGCAAAATGGCTAATACTATTGGTCAATGTAAGCCATTTAATCAAATAATAAGCTCTTACTGAAACTCTGGAATATGCCATTTAATCAAACTTTTGTTTTATATTATTCAGATGGAAATGGCTTCAAAACTAGTACCATGAGGCTTGGGGCAGACGTGATTGTGTTTTCTCGCTGTCGGGGGAAGGATGGAAAAAGGTTTTTTCATGACTCTCATTTGGCCAAAGTGTTCATTTCGATCATTGACATGCTTGTTTGATGTGCCGATATAACAATTCTGGCTTGTTAGTGTCAATTTTCACCTCGAACAGAAACAAAATTTTTCACTCTGTATATTGGTCATGGGCCATTCAGCGACCGATAACGCAATTTTCTTTCTTTGTAGTGTAACACAAAGTATCGGACTGCTGTCCTACACATTTTTAACAGCCACTGGAAAGGAAGATATAGTGGTTCCAATGGTAAGACTTTGATGCTTGAACCAGATATGAGATGATTATACAATTGGAGAAGTTTGTTATTTGAGGAATTAAGTAAATTGTTGGTCAACAGACAACACTCTTGGAATTCTCTTTTGATCAATTAAAAAGAATTAAAGTAGGTAAGGATCCGTGTGGTGAAGAAATGATTGAATGTTATTCAGATAGGAGATATAAGAGATTGAGAAAAAGTAATGGGCAGCCAATGTTATCCTTTAGTGTCTAACCATAATTAAAATTTCCACTGGACATTTTGTTTTGGATATAGTTTTTGTCATGCGTGTTTGACGATTAATTTGTCATACTATTCTCCTGAAAAAAATTAACATTTTCCTGTTGAAATTTCAAGATTGACTTTGAGAAAGGAGGACGTGGCTGGAACAAGAAAATACGCTCTTCTCCAAATGATTGGGATATGAATTTAAAAACCATATTGCAGTGGTCGCCATTTGCAAGTGAGGAAGAACTTCTGCAGCAGGCAAGTTTCATGTTATATCCTTCTCTTGTTTGTACCCGTCTAAGGCTTGATGGAGACTGTCATATTTCTCCATTCCGCGCTACTTTTCATTCACTTGCCTTTTTCATTCTCACGAACATGAATTTATTTCGAAAGGAAGAAGATTAAAGGGAAAAAAGGATCAATCATTATATGTATTCAAAATAGAGACAGATTGTGGACTTTTTTTCATGCACGTTAACGTATTATATTGCATTTGAGATATTCCATCCAGAATTCGTCAGACAGGACAAAATAGCTTTAACTATTTTCCAAAAGCTGGAGTGTATGACCCCCAAGAATTTCTCAGGTTAGGACCTGAGAAGATCTTTCAAATACCATGCCAATGCTTGGGAAAATAGAGGTTAAAGATATATATTGGTCTTAAAATACTATCTTATAGTCCTTGCTTGCGGATTTCCCCTGTATGGTTTCCTTGAACTGCATTTCATTTCATTCGCAACTAATTCAGCGTCCTTCGATGATCTACACAGATCATTTTGCTGCCATAGTCATTGTCGTCCTGGTATAAATGATAATTTAGAGCTCCTCACTGTCAAGGCATCATTGCACAACCAGATGCAAGTGCAAACATGCTATAAGTTATATTCCTATTTCATTTTATCCCATTCTATAATCGCATACTATGTTATATTGTAGTTTAACTTCCTGAAAGATCAAGGAACACGTATCATCATCTACAATCTTTGGGAGGAAGAAGATGGGCATCTGGAATTGGATTTCTACACTGATGCACATGTATGCCTTCAGCATTGTTACTTTCTGGTCAGCATTTTCCCCATCTGGAATTAATCCAGATCTGAAAGTGGTTTCTAATTTGATATTTTTTGGTGGCAATTGGAAATCACAGGACATTCAAATTAGAGGAGACCATCGAGATGTTAATAATGTAGTAAAGGCAGCAAAATATCCGAACTCCAGACATTTTTTAACTTATCAACATTCATTAAGAGTACGTACAATATCTTTACTTAAATTTGAGATATTTGGATCTCCTTGTTCATAGACATTTTTCTTTGTTTATTTATTTACTTCAATTTTCTTGCTTGATTGTGTTATTCAGATATTAGAACTATATCTTTAAAATAAAGCCTTCTTGCCACTGTTTAATTGGTTTCCACCAAACATTCTTTGTGATTTCCGTTGAAGAAATAGTTTGAAGTATGATTTTCCATGACCAATTTGTTCAAGAACGGATCCACCCAAGAAAACCTGGGTTCAAGTGCAAGATAATTAGGGTTAGAAGCAACTTAAGCTACAATATGTGATACGTGAACATGATTTTTTCATGATTCGTCATCTGCCTGCCTGCAATATCCAAGTGGATTATATATGGGTGGGAGGGGATCTGTATATCTTTCTTGGATCAAATTAGTAGGTTATGCTGTTTGTGGACTTGGATTGAGGTGACTGGGGTACATACCGATTTTTCAGTCATATCTTTTCGCTTGGAAATTCATGCTATGGCTAGTTATCTCTTTTTGTCGAGTTTTTATCGTTCAAACACAAAGAAAACATAACTTCTCTATGCTTTGAAAAAATCTTCATGATTTCTATAATTGTTGCTAACTATGCTCTTTCGTTTCTTTCCATTTCTAGAGTTATGCATCAATTCTCTACCTAGAACTTCCACCAGGCTTCAGAATTATCTTGCGCGGGAAAGAAGTGGAACACCATGACCTAGTGAAGGATATGATGCTAGAGCAGGATATTTCATACAAGCCTGTGAATGTTGCAGAGAGAGTTCAAGAGAATAAGAATGTAACGTTAACAAACTCCTCGATTTCTTCGGTTTTTGAAGGTTTCCCTCCAGTGACCCGGTTTTTGTTTTGGCAGATGGCTGCAACCGGGAAAATTGGGTTTGTGAAGGATGCTGGCAATCATATTGACATTCAGGGATTTAATGTTTATCACAAGAATCGACTTATCAAGGTTATATTTCTGCGCATTACATATCATTTTCCACTTAATTGAATCTGGCAATCAAGTTGGAAAGACCAAAGTCTTAATGCAACATTGCAATAACACTATGCTTTTATATGCTGCGGATGAAAAAGAATCCATTCCTGCTACTGTTTGTAGAGAAAAGAATTGCGTTGCTGAGCGACTATGCTAGCTTGAAGCATTAAGATAATCGCACTTGTTTTCTTACACAATATCTTGAACTAAACTTCCACAAGATTTAGCTACGATTTGCATGGAATAAAATCCAGGAATAGTATTTTTTATGCTAATCTTGCGATTATGAGCTCCTTTCTGTTTGGTTGTCCTTTTCCTTGCATCCTCACAGTATTGCCAGCACAAGCATACAGAACAAAATTATTCATTTCAAGTGCTTGTATCATAATTGTTTCTAGGAATCTATAATCATTCTAACTGTCATATTTTATCAAAACTCGTGTTCTTCAGCCTTTTTGGAGGGTGTGGAATGCCGCTGGAAGTGGTGGTCGTGGGGTAATAGGTATTTTCGTAGTCTTGCGAAGAGTATTCTGCATTCCATCAACGAGTATATAGCTAAATCCCTGTCTCTCCGGGTGTGCTCTTTTGTTGGAACAGGTGTATTGGAAGCAAATTTTGTTGAGCCTGCTCATGATAAACAAGGTTTTGAGCGCACAAGTGTGCTTTCAAGATTAGAGGCAAAATTGATTAATCTGCAAAAGACTTATTGGTTTGTACTTCTCACTCGCTTTGCTTTCAGATATTTCCAAGTGATTGACATTTGAATTTTAAAAAACTTTTTTTGTTGGCATTTAGGAGGACAAATTGCCATAAGATTGGCTATGCTGTGAGGAGGCAGTCTAAGAACCTTTCTTCAGACACAATACAATCAGCATGCAATAAAGACATACACTCTGCAAGAACGAGTCAGAACGGACGGTACTTCACTGATGGAAATAAAAGATCCTCGCATGATAATGCAATTTATCAGAATGGACATGGCTCTGAAAGTCGACAGTCCAGAATGAAAAACGGATTGAATTCCTGCAAAATATCAGATGTCGATGATGCAAGCGAAGGTGTTGGACATAATGCACCCTTTGCTTCCAGGAAATCTCTGCACGACCCCTTCAAACATAAAAGCACTCACTTGTTAACCTCTCCTTCATATCCAAAGGTAAATTCTCCACATGCTTATTTTTATTTTTACCCAAGCCTTTTTGCACAAATATTCATGTAATAACGTTTTTTTTTTTTTTTGATGTCTTTGTCAACTTGCAGCCTGTTGTCATCAGCGAGAATGGCCAAATTACCACCAATGGCAACGTGAAGACTTTATCCAGCTCAAAAGGAGAGGATCGTGAATCAAGGTTCCTCTGGAAACAGAGCCTCCATTTTGTTCAGATTTTGGTTGTGCCATCCATATACACGGCTTCTAATACTCTGTTTCTTGTTATTTGCATGTTGAATAGAATCTGTGGGACTGAGAATCATCTTCTGCAACATGAAAGGGACAAGTGCCGGGAACTTGAAAGCCAGGTATATGCTCCTAACTTAACTAATAAATTCAAATTATGCTGCGCTTGTTAATTTGTCAGGGTATATTGTTTTGAAACAGTGAAATCAAAATTTTACTTTGTGTCATGCTTTCTTCAATTTCATGCTTAAACAAGGTTTACAAATTCAAATAGGGGTTAAAAGACGAACATGGTCATTGAAATCCACTTCTTGTTTCACATTTTTCCAATGAAAGCTTAGACAGGAACACAGTTGAAAGAAGTAAGAGCGAATTGTATATTCTAGGAATGAAAGCAATTCAAAAGTGTAGACTAGTATTCAATTATTCACATCTGTTTTAAAACGATTACTCTCTTTAATTTTCCTCACTTTTTTGCTTAATTATCAGTCAAAACATCTTGGTTTTCTTTTAGCATCCCCAATTTCTCATTCAAGCACTCTCAACGTGCATGGGAATTTTCATAGCAACAATACTTTGAAAGTATCCATTTTCAGAACTTTGACTTCGTGGAGTTTCAGATGTTGATCAGAATTTTATGCCACTACCACTTTAATTTAAAAGATGTTGAATATTGATTGAGATGAGTAAAAAAATATCGTATTCTTAGTTGCTCATTATTGAAACTTGGAAGATTATATGAAATTAAAAGAGAACGTGCATTGAAAAAGAACAGAAGAAAAATTGAAGACAAAAATAATTAGTTTGATTTGATTTCCACACCATGGATCTATTCGATGTTCCCCTTTTCAATTTATGTATCTATTTCGTTCAGCTTCAAGAGAGAACAAATGAGCTTGAGGCAGAAAGAAAGAAAACAGAACTGTTGGAGAAAGAGTTTGAGTGTCTTGTAGTTATGATACAGGAAGAAAGGACCAGGCAGACCGAACGAGAGGATGAATTAATGAAGAAGATTAAGGTTTGGATGAGGAGTTTAATTCATTCTAGTAGCTTGATTACCATAACACTTTTTCATGATTCTCACAAGACCCTTTTCTCTTTACGGTTTGCTGCAGGATCGATCCCAAGCTATCGAGGATCTAAGAGAGAGGGTGAGACAGCTAGAAGCCAAGGAGCTCCTATGCTGCAAAATTGAGAAGAACTGCTACTAATTAAGCAATCTTCTTGGACTTCGTTTAGTTAATTAATTTAGTTTTAAGTAGTATAGGTTGTAAATTAGTGGTACATATATGATATGATAATTATAAAAATAGTTGTGGTATGTGCATCAAGGCATGTATGCCAGTAGGGAAAACTGTTGGTGCTCGAGAAATGATTGAAGCAATAATATGCGTAGTTTACACACAGATATTTTTACACTCGGATTATGTTTTTTTTAAGGAAAAAAAATCAAGTGCTAATGTATTTTTTTTTAAATAAACATTAACTCAATTAATATTAAGATAATGATATATTAGAAAATCAAATAAAAAAATATTATGAAGCTTCATCTGAAATTAACTCAATATTAAAAAATAAAATTAAAAAAATAATTTAATAAAAAAATAAAAAAAATAATTTAATAAAAAAATAAAAAAAATAATTTAATTAAAAAATAAAAAAACTACAACAAAAAAAAATATGGACAAAATTTAAGAATTGATGATGCATTTTGCTTACCACGCACATAAGTTCAGGAGAGAAAAAAGGGAGGAAGGAGAATAAAGAAAAGAAGAATAAAACGTTGGAGCCAGAACAAACATTTATTGCCATCACGCACCTCCTTATTAGAAAATCTTGTTTAGACGATTCTAATGACACAAAGAGATGACACCATTGGATTCAAAAGAAAGTTGTCCGTGCCACCACATCACGGCGACATCCTTAACATGCTAGTGCGTGCCAACCAATTCTCCATTTAAAATTTGGTTGTTAAAGATCAAATTATTTCAAACCAATAAAATTGTTTTTTAGTTAAACCAAGTATCAACTAAATCCTAAATATTTGTCGCAGTACAATAATAACCCAAAACTAAGTCAAACAAAATATATTATCAAGTTCAATTTTACATTAATAAAAGCTGAACATTTAATCTTTAATTTGAAAAAAAAAAAAAGAGCTTGAACATTTGCTTAATTTCAAATTTGATTCTTAAAGTTTTAATTATTTTACATAATTAAAATGAAAATTTTATTTTGTTGATTGGAGCATTAACCAAGTTCCGGAATTTTTTTTCTGAAATCATAAGAACTCAATAACAAGTAGGTTAAAATAAATTATTAAATTTAATTTTATATGTAAATTGATAAAATTATAAGAAAAAAGTTAAGTGAAAAAAAAAAAACATTTTGAGGCCAATTACAATCTGGAGTGTTTTGAATTTTGAGTTCCAGTAAAGCCTGAAGATGTTTTAGTTTCTTTTTAATTTAAAATTAATTTAATTTCTGCTCTTTTATTTTTGGGTTTATTGTAATTGTCTGTATAAAGACCCAAGCCCCTCACTTTGTTACGGATAAATTTATCTGCCTCGTATTTGTTTCTTCTCTAACACAAAGTGATGTATGCTTACTGTCTTCAGTCAGTATGGATTTGCATTCTGACTAAGTTGTTGTGATTTTACATCTAATACTGTTACAGTGTTGCGTTTTGTTTGGTTCTGCCATTGTTCTCTGTAGGCTTTAACACAAGTGCTTTCATTTCTAATTATTCAAGAGGGGGTGGGGTTCCCTGATTTGCATATTATTTCGATTTGATGGCATTAGCGATCCACAGCTACATGGCCATTGCTTTCTTTTGTTCCACTTTATTGAAATGATTTAGTGTTTCATGGATCTTTTACACTTTATTAACCAGTAGACTACTCAAAATCTTGATGGTTTTTTTGTTCGCAAAACTAGATTTCTTACTTGCATATTAACATAACAGTATTGATTTATTTTTAATTAATTAAATATAAAATAATAAAATTAAATAAATAATAAACATATTATGAGATTAATTTACATTGATCTGAATTAATTTAATATATCAATTTTAATATTTATTAAAAATTTTATTTTAAATATTTATTTTGAATTAAATTAAATTTTTATTAATTATTTAGATTTTTTTAACACACTAAAACAAATATCTCACATCAAATTAATTTTCAAATGGTTTTAATTTTTTTTACTTTAATGTTTATCTTTTTTACATTTAAAACAAATACCTGATCCGGAAAAAAAAAAATCTAGTACAATATACACAGCCATGACTCCGTGATTTACTGGGCTCTTTGTTCTTAAATAATTTAAAATCATAGCTGGCAAGTGAATTGACTTCCTTGCTCCTGTCTGTTGTCCATAACTCACTGGCAAGGGATCTCTTCAACAGCCATATTTTCTTCCCTTTAGATTTGCAAACACTCACCACACATTTTTTAAGCCTTTTACTTCTTTATTTTTACTAGCTTCTTAAGGATCGAAGGATCTTCAACTTAGCTAAAGAACTTTCTTTGTTTTGCAGTGCCACCGCAGCCTAGCAACCCACACTCACTTAAGAACTCGGTCCATCTCAACCTTGTTAGAAGCCACATCTTCAGTAAGGGCTTTATTATAAACCTCATCACCCAGGAATTTGATAATTCCAAAGTGCAGCATTGGTTGAAATTTGAAATTACATCTATCTCTTGGGAATCTTATTTTTCCTTGTAACACTGTCTTAATTATGCTTGCATTTTGTTCATTACTTCACTTGGAGCAGGGGAATGGCAGCTGACTGAATTTTTGCTTTTTGCATGCATGCGTGTCCGTACATTTAAGCATAAACTTGTCAGTGCTCGGGTGTGTGTGCGCGCTCTTGCTTTGCATGCAGGTGGATGGATGGGTAGTAGCGTTTATTTATGTGATGATTTATTTACAGAAAGTCAATGGTAGCTGTAATTATCTCATTAAGGGATTAATGGATTACATTGTATTCCTATACTAATCTGTTTTTCATCATACATAGAAGCTTCATATAATTATGAAATATAAAATATGAAACATGAATTTGGTGATAACTGGAGCAAAATATCATGGATTTTGGTTCTGAGGGTTATGAGGTGGGGATGGAGGGAAGTATGGTATCCAAGTTCTGGGATCTCTTAGATTAAATGCAGGTGGTGGTGGAGGTGCTAATGGAGGGGTATTCGGTATCCATGCCCTTGGATTTCCTAGATTAAATGCTGGTGGAGGTGTTGGATGGAAAAGAGATGGGGTTGGTGAGAGGGGCGGAAATGGAAAGGGCAAAGAAGATGGGCGAGGAGATGGCAAGGGAGGAAAAGGCTGAAATGGCATAGGTAATGGAGGGAAGGATGGAGATGGAAATGGTGGCAATGGAGGGACGGGTGATGGTGACATGTTAGGCAAGGTATGCCATGGGAACCCATAGGGTGGGGAGTAAGGGAGAAAAAACTTCGAAGAGTTGAAAGAACTCTGTAACTCTTCTTTGTGTTTCCCACACAAGGTAGCATTTTTTTTGGAAGGTCTGTAACTCAAAGCACTCATGCTGTAAATACAGAGATTATTCTGCTTTGACTTGACTGATATCTCGTCTGTTGACATCTTTAAACCAGGAACGTTGCAGGCTGGAGATGAGCTCCGTATTAAACTTGCCAGGCATATTAATTCAATTGTCGATCCCTTCACACAATCAACACCATCAACCTCTGGCACTGTCACTTTATATATTCCATATCTATCTGTTGTTCTGTTTGCAGAGAACTCAATCTTCTCTGCAGTTTTTGGTGAGATTGCTTGGAATGTACATTGAATGTGAACATCCGCACCTAATCAGTCCAATATGATTGGCAATGAAAAGATTTCAGAAATTTTCTCAGCGTGAAATTGAAGGGTTTGTTATATTAAGAGTTAGTAAATTACCTGGCAAGAAGCAGCTGTATCTGGAGAAAGTGTTGGTTGAGCAGGTATCACAGTAGACAACACCAACAATAATGATTCGGGAGGTTGGATTGTTTGCTGCTTGAGCAATGAGAGAAAGTGGGAGAGCAAACAAAGTTGCTAGAAGAGCATGAATAATGATTGGAGCCATGGGAGCAGACATGGGAGAAGCGGGAAGAAGGTTCCACTAAAAGCATCTCTAATCAGTACTCCTCCATGAAGATCTTCATATAATGTAGAATTATTCTATAGATCTAGAAAAATATACTATGTCTGCATATAATGACCCCGTGAGTAGATTGGTGTTAGGACCAACTGTAATAGGATAGCTAAAATGCTTTATCTATTCACTACAAACAAAGACATGTGAAGAGCTCTTTTGGCAGATTATGTAGAAAAAAGATTTACTCCATGTTCACAACTCTGTAGCAGATTGGCAGGTTGTGGACACTGATATGGAGGCTCTATTATTTCTCAGATCGGAACAGATCGCTATCAGGTAGTCCAAGGCATAGAAAGGCAGCGCCGAAGGGAGTCCTAAATTTTTTATGTTTTACATGAAGTATGTGGCTTTGCTCTCTGACCAATTATTGTTTTTTCTTTCACTTTGCCTTTGTGTCTGCGTTTTCAGCAAATTTTTTACTAATAGATGACACTCACCATGCAATTTCTTCGTTTGTCATGCACTATTCAATGACCAAACTGTTTGTTTTTACATGCAATAGTCAAAACCCAGCTTGAGTTGCTCTCTTCAATTGGCAAATGTTTTGCATGAATGCGTCTGATAACAAATGAGAAAGTGTGCGAGAAGAACCCAAGAAGAGTTTAGACCAGGATGAAAATTCTTATATCCAGATCGATTGGCTGTTAGTGCTTTGTCTGGGACCCCAAGATTCTTTGAAATCTTCAAGGTTGCGGCCAAGGTTTCCCATGGTGAAAGTTCTTTGTATTTATTATCATTACTCATGGGAAGTATTAAATGCACCTAGTTTTTTCCCATCTATGAAATGAATTGTTAAATTATATTTTCTCATTTATTTTTCTCATATGTTGCATTATATTGTAAACCAAACCTAATTGCATTGTAATCGGAGCCGGTTTAAGCTAGGAGTTGTTTTTTCAATGAAACAAGGCCTTCATTTAACGAAAAAAACTCTAATAATAAATAAGGTATTTTTATTAATTATATTTTGTGAAATGAAAATTACCTCTACTTAAAAAAAAAAAACTCTATAAAATGAAAATTGTCCAAGGGTTCACTTGTTAGGTATATATAAAAAAATAAAAAATAAAATATTTTTTAAAATCTCATTTATAATTTTTCAGAAGATTTATATTAATTATAAATCATTTACATAAGATTTTGTTTGTCTAGAATTATACTGCAATATATCATTATTTTAATTTCTTAATTTTTTTTATCTTTTCTTTGTTTGTGAATATTAAGCTTTTCTCCTTTAATTTATTTTCTATTCGAAAGGAGTAGAAATTTCATATCATACTTTCTAAGAGTTTAAATTCATATATGCAAGTGGAAATTCCAAATGTTAACTACTAGGTTGTTTCTTGAGGATTGCTCAGCTTTTTAGTTGTTTGCTTAATTTAAGTAAAGAGATGTTTAATTTAGCTTAGTTTTAATAAATTTTATATATATATATGGCTAAAGAATAATAAATTATTTATTTTCTCATAAATAAAATGTTTAATTCTTATAGGAAACTATTGTCAAAACATACTTCAGAGTTGAGGCTGCTCTCAATTTAATTTATTTGTTTAAATAACCTTAATTTGTCTCTCTACGAAATGTCATCCTAAAATTACTTTAAAACTTTTATAGTTTCGTCATTATTTTACTTTTTCTTTATTATTTTAAAAATTACAGTTTATATTTTGAGTCAAAACAATTTTTAAATCTGTTGAACACATTATATCCATGCAAAGAAAAAGGTGGACAAAAAAGTTTAGATTATTTACATATTTATCATTATATTCTAATTAATAACTGAAAAACTCTTATATTAAATATTATAATTTTGCTATTAAATTTTTATATATATATATATAAAAAAAAACTAATCACCGCACCTGCATCCTTTTCTCGTCGTCAAAATCTGGTCACCAAATTCAACAAATCAAAATAGCAGCACATTAGACCTACACCAACGAATGAAGATGATTTTTGGTGTGGTCCCAGTAGATGAGATCCCGAGAGGAGTCTTGGATGGAGATGATATTAGTGCTCTGCTTGGTGGTGTTGATGGACATGATTAATGACTGGCGGACATTATTTCGTTTAGGTTTATCATCAAATACTTTATCTGCAATATGGGAATTCATAGGAACCCGTCACTGAAAGATAATTCCTTTCACATATCAACAGTAGATACCTAGGCTATGATTGTTAATAACTCTACTAAATCTTCTTTAGAATTTTGTTCGCAGGTTATTTTTAAAGTAGTTTTTATTTAAAAATATATTAAAATAATATTATTTATTTTTTAGAATTTATTTATTATATTAAAATAATTTAAAAATAAAAAAAGATAATTTTAAATAAAAAATAAAATTTCATTAAACATTGTTTGCAACTCCTTTTCGAGCAGCATTTAAAAGCTCATTTATTTTTATATTTCAAATCAATTTTTTATATATTTTTAAATTATTGTAATGGATTGATATTAAAAATAATTTTAAATAATAAAAATTTATTATTTTAATATATTTTTAAATAAAAAAATATTTTAGAAAACAATCAAAACTTTTAATCTGTCTTATCTGCTTCTTCTTTTTTTTCACCAAAGCCACATAAATACATAAATACCCCTTTATGCCACTGGACACATCTAGTTCTCCATTGAAGTATATGCCATTGGACACATCAAGCTCTCCATTGAAGTAAAGTTCATTGAAAGACTAAAACTGACCTCCAAGTCAATCAGAAACCTTCATGTCATAATCCATGACTCAGAAAGAAAAAATAATTTTAATCCATGGCACAGGTTTCAACTTTGTTTCTTTATGTCCTAATCAGAAAGAAAAAATTAAATTCAATCCACTAGACATGTTTCAACTTTGTTTCTGTCTTTATGAGTGTGCTTTTCTCAATGTATTAAAATAATTTTTAATATATTATTTTTATTTTTAATATTAATACATTAAAACTATTAAAAACCAAAGAAAACCAAACAGTCACGGGCGGACGCTTTAAAAAAGCAAGAAAACAATTGCCTTCAGAAGTCGAATGCTTATGGGCCTTGTATTGTTAATTGCTCAGGAGAGTTGAAGTTCATCAGAAACAATGTCTACCCGACCACAGTGTCAAAATTCCTGTCAAAAGTCCCAGATCTTCAAAATTAGTGAGTATGGAGGATTGATGTTTGTAGATATATGCCTTGCATTCTCAATAATAGATTTGGCATATTCAAATAAAAAACTAAATTGGTTTAGAGAAAGAAAAGAAGTCGTGGTTTTGGGATGGGAGAGGAAAATAATTTTGTGAAATATGATGAATTGACATGTAATATAGGTTATTGAAGTGATATTATCTATGAGAATAGTTTGGTTTTTTTTATTGAAATTTTAAAATTAAATTGATCTAAAATGTGACCTATAATTTCTAAAAAAATAAAAATAAAGTGAAAAAATAAATAAGCTAGGATAATTTTTCCTTTTTATTAATCTGGTTCTTCCATCCAAATCAAGAGTGTCGTCAACTAAATTCAATATAGGGATTTATAATCCAAGTCAAACATTAAATTTAATTATTTTTTAAATCAATCCCGAGAATTAAATACACAAAATCAAAATAACTAAACTTATTTATAAACTCCAACAAGCCTATTTATATCTACAAGATCCTATCACATATGATTAATTTTGATTGATGTAAAAGATTATTGTTCTGTTAAGCTAAAATGATAGACTAGAAGGAGCTTTGAGCCTTTGACCAATTAAAAAATTATTATTATTTAAGACAATATATGGGAGAGATCTAATCTATGTCCGGTTATTAAAAAAAAATGATGCAAATAATAGATTGAAAAAATTATTATACCTTTTATATGTTACCAGTAATTAAATAAAGATGTAAATAAAATAAATTTTGTTAATGGTTAAATCATAAATGACCCAACAGTAATGACGTGGGGATAGTTTTGGTCAAACTTGAGGGTTGAACGTAGAGGAAGGTACTCTACATTATACAAAATCATTAAGTAAAAGGCCACATTAATAATAAAATGATGAGGGACTGGGTTGAGAAAAATCAAAATAATAGAGGAAATCTACTTACTTACCAAGAATCTTATAAGTGTTTTTTTATTTAAAAATATATTAAAATAATTTATTTTTTTATTTTAAAAAAATTATTTTTTATTTTAAAAAAATATGTGGACGTTAGCCGTACTAGCTTGAATCCAGTAAATACTTTCTTTTTTTTTTATCTCGGCTTCAAGACGAGAGCCATGCTGCCATGGCATCTATCCGGCTCATTCACAGTTCAAAACTAAATTGTATTTCTTCAGTTTTGAATTTGGTGGTTCTGACGTGGCATAAAGCAAATTCTTGGATCTGGTCAAAGTCAACGGAGAAATCAAAGCTCGAATGGATTACGTGGCTGATAATTTTGATGACCACGTACAAGAAAGGGAAGAAAAGGGCATTCTTCATACAAAGAAGAGTGGTCAATTACATTAATTTCTTCATTGAACATCCATTCCATTCCATAACATAGTTAGAAAAGCATCACAATATAACCTTTGATGATTATAATATTCTTAGACTGGAGAGCAACTAAGACAACTAGCTAATGTACGTTATAGAAAATTGAAAAGAAAAGATTAATTAGAAATTAAAAATAAACTAATCTCCTCTTTTTTCCTTGTAATGATAATTTCCACGTTTATGACCCAGTTTGTGATGTTAACGTTGTTGAAGATCAAAATCAAAGCCAAAGTGCTCCAGCTTCCTTGAGGAGGGGCACGAGAGTTCCACTGATATGGGAAGCCATGACTCGTTCCATGGCACCAATTAACTTCCCTCCAATGAATACAACAGGCACAGAAGTTGAATTCCCGAGCAGCCTCATTAATGCCTTCTCAATCTCTTCCCCTCTTGGGTCATGGTCGAGCTCATAAACAGTTGGGTTCACACCCATCCCACAAAAGAGTCTCTTCACGGCATGACACATGCAACAGCTGCTGATACTAAATACCACAACAGCACTCTCCGATGCCAGCCTCGCAACCTTCTCCAATGGGTCTGATGCCATGCAGGTCCTCGTTGGCACTTGGTAACCCCATGACTCAGCCTGATGATATAGCATCTTAATTTCCTTGTAAATTACACGCTAACCCGGAACAGAAACAACAGAACTAAGAAACTGAAGGAGATGTAAGTGTGCGGGAGTGAAGTAATTGAATAGAATTGTTGGTGGTGGTGGTGAGGTTTATATAGGGGGGCCTATGGAGGGGTATGACTGTAATATGAAGGAGTTTGTCTTTTGTTGTCTCAGCAGACAACAAGTGCTTAGAACTTAGAAGATACTGTGGTTCTTGCTTGATGTGAAGATTTCGTTTTGATCAACTTGAGAATCGACTTGAAATTAACATTTATTGAGAAGAAAATCTCGTGGTTTTTTCCTTAAAAAGGATGGTTATATATCTGTACCAAGAGGACATCATGTGGGCACTCATAGAAGGGATTTTAGCTTTGGATGGAAGCAAAGGTGGCACTTGGCAGGTTTAGAAGGCGGCTATTGAATTCTTTGTCTACTGCAGAGGGTATAGAGTGAACAGGTTTTACCATTCCTTAATTTTCTCTTAAAGAAAAAATAAAAAAGATAAAAAAGGTGACATCTACGCAGGCATCGAGAGACAACTTAACAGGAAGGCTTTTAAAACATTAGACAAGCCAAAGCCTGAAGGAGAGTTGCATAGAGTAAACGGCTGTCTCTGTCCTTGTTGTCGGATCACGAGATTAAAAAAGGTTTGTTTCTGTGACGTCATGATTTCGTGCTTTTAAGCCAAACGCCAGGTCTTCATTTATTTGGATCGATAAAAAAACAAAAATATTAATATTGCATGCATAGCCACCATGATCATCCTTATCTGGCTTTGTGAATTGACTTACACTGGTCCGTTTCGACAAGTTCGAGGGCATGCGGTTCTTGGAAACAAAAACCAGAACGTGCTATAGCTTTTGCCTTTCGGTCCCTTGAAATCTTTGTCTAGAAATGACGCTGATATATATGGACATGTTTCTGTATTGTTGATTTGTTTTGTTTCTCCCACTTAGCGTTGCCTTGGTGACCTAATTTTTTTGATGTGGTGGGAACTGTATATTGTCTTTTACAGGGGGATCTGGAGTTCTATGGATATATAAACGCCCACAGCTTGGTATAGACCTTGCGCACATAATCCATTGTGTGTTGTATTATGTCTATATATTAAGCTTGAATTGGCATCAAATACTTCCTTTAACTTTTATTTGCTCGTCGACATCATCTTCTTTTTGGAAAGTGCTGTTACTGCATATCTTGCAATCGATCTCGTTCAATTTTGTCGCGAGCAAATCACCAAAAAATAGCAGGAAATGAAATGCCATTAGGGAGATCCTTAACGTGTGAAACCACGCTTTTGACGTAATTGTTGAAAAATAATATTAGAGATGCCATTATGCAAAGTCACTGCAAGAGGTGGAAAATTAAGCACGCTCGACGTGCTCATAAATATCATCTATATAATTGACCCCCTCTGGACCCTCACAAAAGCAAAAGAATAGTAAGAAGAAGAAATATACTCCCTTATTTATTTATTTTCTACAATGTTATTAACTTTGAAATTAGCTAATCAATACTGTTAACAATATTGATCAACGTCGCCCAAAAAAAAATCAATTTAATTTAGTTTTGGAGCCTTAATTCTAGTGATAAGCGGGTTTGATCTGACATTATCATCCAGTATTGAAATACTAGAAATGAGGTCATGGAGTAAAATTTTCAGGTAAATGTGCTAGTTTAAGTATAGATAATATCTATTTAAAAATCTAATCCGATAGATTTTAGCCTCACTATAAAAAGCAAAGAGATGCCTCTACCGTTAATATATATATATATATATATATATACTTAAAATATTATAAAAAAATATTAAGATATTAGCCTAAAATTTTAAGACTTCATTATCTATCATGGTTGTAAAAAATTACTACAAAGCAGTATTAATATTCAACATTCGTTTTTCTTTTTCCTAAAAAATTTACAAAATCCTTGACAAAAATCAAACCTTTTTATTAGAACACACAATTAATATTCACCAATCTAGAAAAAAAATGCAATCAGAACCTGAAAGTTGATCCTATACATAAAATATGTAAAACATCATACCTATAAAAGTTCTTTCCACTTTACAGTACACCTCAACTCCAGCCTCTTGGATGAGAAATTTTTATGCATCTCTAAATTCGTACATTGGGCTCACTACATGGATAAAAAGTTGCAAGAGCATGTAAGCAACTGTCATGGAGGGAAAGAGATTCAAAGGGTTAGGGTTAGGGAAGGGAAGGGAGCCATTACACTCCTGTCCACTGCTAGTTTTATTCCTCTGCTGGTATGTTCTCCTAAAGCAGAGACAAAAAATGACAAAACTACAGGTGCTCTCCATAGACGAAGTCTATGAAACCAAACAAAAGAAAGAAAAAAAGGGAAGGCGTGGCCTGCATCACAGGCTTATTCAGTCGGCGCTGCTGCTGGGTACGGTTGTGCTGACTACCGGCGAAAGATCAGGATTCTTGACGTTCTGAAATCTAGCTGGCTAATCACCTTTTTAGCTTATTACATGCAGTCATGTACTGCTATTTATTCTCTGGTTTTTCTTAGCTCACGGTATTTAAGCATGCAACACAACATCCTTTTTTATATATATAAAATACTGTTTATTTTTGTATTGTAATAATATTTTTAACAATTTTTATTTTTTTATTTTAAATTAATTTTTTATTATTATTTTTAAAACATTTTAATATATTATAACAAAAATAACTTTATAAAAATAAAAAATATTATTTTAATATATTTTTAAATAAAAAATATTTTAAAAAATAATTATAGGAGAAGTTTACTACGACATGGACATGCCATGCGTGATTAACCCCGTTAAATATCTACTGTTAAAGGACTGCTCCTCCAGGAGATTGTTATGTTCAGTGTGATAACTTGTCCATTATTTCTATTTCAGTGTATCAATTTTTTATTTTTTTTCTATTTAAAGTGTGTTAACTCTCAGTTGTTTTCTAAAATAATAAAATCTTATCGATTTCATCAAATCTGATAGTTAAATTGACACGTTAGTGTGCTTAGTGTCCGCCTCATTTGTATGGACATTTTACTCTATTGCTAATCGAGTGTGTATGTTTTTTCTACGAGTGTATGTAGTTGCTTTTCTGGTTGAAGTATCTGCATTCTTAAGAAGTTTATCAATTTTTCCTTTTGATTTTGAAATCTAAAAACTATCTACTTTTGCAATTTTATATAGGCCTTATCTGATCAAGTTAACTGAAATCTAAGATCAAAACAATGGAATAAATTCACTATTAATTCAAATTAAAATAATAATAACAAAAGACGTAAAAATATAAATATGTATTGACTATAAGTGACTACGTAAGGAAAAAAATAAAAAAAATAAATGAGTAACAATTGAACACACATATAAGAGATCAAATATCTTGTTGAGAAATTGGAATATATATGTATATAATTCTTTGTATAATTGATTTGTGTTTAGAATTATTAATTTTATAAAGAGAATTATTATTTTTTATCTTTTAAAGTTAGTGCTAGAGGTTTTTTTATTTTGTGAGAAAGTGGAGGAAATTGAGTAGTTGGGTTTTTTTATTAGATAAGAATTAATCAACATGCTTAGTGGTCAATTAAGTAGTCTTTTATTCTTATTTTATTTTTAGACACTTTGATCAATGTTTATTGTTTTAATTTTAATTTTAATTTTATTTAACTTATAAGTCAACTTGGAATACATAATTACATAAATTAGACATTTCGTTACTTTTAAAAATGATAATAACTCAATTGATAGATTTTTGAAAATAAAGACACTCAACTAAAAGAAATGAAGGTACAAGTAAAATATAAATATAAAAACTTATAAACAAAGTGAAATGTGTGTATCTAATGAAGTGTCAATCTAACGATTGATTAGAGAAGATTTCTAAATTTACACTCTTAAATTAAAATAAAAAATAAAAAAATATCACACGTCAAATATACAATAAAACTGTGTAGCAGTAATTACATTTGTTCTCGGAAGAACAAAAAGGAAAGGAAAAGAAAGAAGAAGCAGAAAGAAGCAGTCATCACAATTGATGATGCAGTTGGAAGAACTCAGATTATTGTTCAATTATTTAATCCGTGTTTCCATCAAAAAATTTCAACGATAACATTGCCTGAGCTGTTTTAGCTCCTTTGGTACATGGTTTATTTTCTTCTTGTTTATTTAATAAATACATTTTTCTTACTAATTGTATCAAAGTAAAATAAATCATAAATCTCCATTTGTTTTCAATACGATTATATTAAAACATATGTATTTATGCTTTATTAGTTAGGCATTGAAAAGTTATGGTATTAGAAGAGAAGAAGTTAATTAATGGTTGTTTAACAAAAGAAAATTAAGTGAAAATTAATCTCTCTGTTATTTATATTTTAAGATGTATATTGCATGTTTTTATCAGGTAAAAACCAATAAAAAGAAACAATGAAAATGTATGATCAAATATGAGGTCAAAGCCCCTGGAGTTATTAAGAATTTACAATAGTATATGAACTACATTTAAATCTTTATTTACATCCTTATTATCTTTCAATTAAGTACATGAAAAACAAATGATTCATGGAAAAGGTTTCATTAGGGATGATGGTGATATCAACGTTAATTATAGGTAATTTTGGGCTATTTTTTGTTTTTTTTATCACATTTAAAAAAATATTGGTAAAATATAAAATATAAAAAAATTGATGAAATAATATAATTTATACATATCATGATTAAAACATATAATTTTTATAATTTATTGCCATTTAAAATAATAACATTTTAAAAAAAATATTAAATATAGTAATAATAACTTGGTGACAGTGGAGGGGTAATATATAATAGAGATAATAATAATAAATTAATAACAACAATAATTTTTATATTTTTTTAAAAAAAATTATTAGTGTCAATGCCACAGAAAGTGTGGTGGCAAAAGAATAATAATGGTAATAAGTTGCACTAATAACATTTTAAAAAAAATTATCATCGTTATTAACGATGACAACGCTAGAGTAAATAATAAAGATAGAAAAGAAAGTTTAATACAATAAACAAGAATAATGTATCATTCATTATAAAAAAGAAGATTTTACTGGAATTCTTTATTTTTATTCTAACCTCTTCCATGAAAATAAATTTATCTTGAGATTTCTGTTCTCATTTCCAATGCACGTTCATATTTCCACTCTTACAAGTAAGTATCCAGTTATTTTAAATTATTATAGAAAATGCCACGTGGATGATGAATACGTGGGCATTTGATTAGTATCTGATTGACCGT